ATATTCACTTGTGGGGACGAGAAGGACGAAGGAAGACAACGAGCTTCCACATATATCAGCGTAACCAAGCGTTGGTTGGAAGAAACTACCGCTTCGATGATGACGTGTATCCATGCGTGCACGCGTGTGTCACGCGTAAGTTTGTATGTGTTCAAAAATACATTCGCGTGACGATCGCCCACCGAAGAAGAAACTACCGCTTCTAAGATGATCCCGGTGTGTCTACGTCACGCGCGCGTATGTGTCTGTGTATCCGGAAAGATCCTTGTGCGACGAGCGCCGAGCAAGTTCAGCTAACTCGATTGTTCCGTACGGAACAAGGAGCTCTTTCACGCGAGAGTCTCGTTCCGGCGGTCTTTGATGGAGAAATCATTGCTCGCGATGTGTCCCTCGATACGTGACGTCGATCCTCCGAGCGTTCGCCGGTCGATACGAGAGATTTAATAAGCTTGCGATTATAGCGAGATAACGATGACGAACGGTAGGGGGTATCGACGGGAGCGAGAATGCGAACTTTTGAGCGTTTAACACGCTTCCATGTACAATTCCCAGAATAATTAATGATCGTCTATGGAAGCGCGGTATAGAATTTGCGATGAGTTGACTTTGCGGAGCTCTTCCGAAAGATGAGAGATAAGTACACAACGTGTGCTACGCGAACGATAAGTAATTACGAGACAATTGATACGATTGATATTTGGATACTTAAATTGTCGCGATGTTGCTCGCGCTGAATTTTCGCGTTTTAGAAATGTCCGTGCGTTCGTTTCACCGCGTGCGTGAGAGAGCCCCGGAAAGCGCGTTCGACAGATTCCAGAATTCCAACTTGACTTGGCGAATGCGATGCATCGTCATCGCGCGCGCATAAGTCGCCGGTAATAGAAGCGTCGTCGCGCGTGGACGAAGATTTATCGCCGGTATTTCGCGAGGCACGTGCCTGCACTTTTTTGCAGCTACGACATTCCTATCGGCAACGCGGTGCAACGCGCGCTCGCGTTTGAACTACGCCGTTCGCTCGCACGCCGTGACGCGAGTGACGCGTACGTCTTGTCTTATTCTTGATGTCGGAGTAATCATCGGGCGATATCGAAAGGCAGGTTAATTATCGGTTGTGCCGCGTGTTGCGCCGGACTAGAATTCGATGCGATATATCGACTGATAATATATTTAAAAGAATAACGATTGCGGCAACGTTTCCGTTAATCATTAGATTCAATTATAAAAAGTTATAACTATTATTAATAAACGTTGATTAGCGCAAGAGTTAATTATATTAAACTCATTTAACTGTGAAAGTCATTCTCTTTTACGAATAAAAATCATTTTCTCCTTTTTTTTTCTATATCGGCTTCTTGCGACAATCGTCTTAATATTTTACATAAAAATGTGGAAAAAAGTGGATTCGTAAGAAGAAACATACGTTTTTTCTTGGAGTCCTCATGCATACCTCCGGGTGTCGCAGCGCCGTGATTGTGATGGTGGAGGGCTAGAGGGTCCTGGGGATGCGGGTGAATGGCGGCTAAGGCACTTCCGGCTGGGTCACCCGGATTGACCCCGACTCCGACCCCCAGGTGTAGAGCACCATGCTGCGTCGCGTGTGCCGGAAGCTCCATGCTGATCATAGCACGCCACCCTCCTTCCAACCCTCTCCTCCCGCCACCCTCCTCTATCTCGGACAGCACCTCGCCGAGTTGGACGAGGCGTCCGTTCAACTCCTCGTCGTCTTCTGAGAAGGAAAAAAATTAATTGTTTTATTAATAATTTCAAGAAAAAAATATTATTAAAAATAATATTCTTTAATATTTTATTTATTAAAAAGATATAAAACATTAGTCTCTTTATAAGGAAAAATTTTTAACTTTCAAATGATGATTCATCGTGATTGTCATTGCCTGCGCGGAAGGCAGGTGGAATCGGCGAGCGACGGGCACAAATTTTCGATCAGTGACTCACAATCGAATCAATGGTGCAAGAATACCGTAGACAAAGTTTCGAACTGATCTAGGCGTACCACGGATCGGCCACGGAGAGAGCCCGCGGCAAGCCGGATCACAAAAATAAGTCTCGGTGGTCCAACCGCGATGGAATTGCGTTTGCCACGCTTTTTACGCGCGGAGTAGATAATTTCTTCGTTCCTTTCTACGTAATGGCCTGGTCGGGTGATCTTTTTTGCTTATTACGTCGGGAGGAGGCCGCCGCGGAGAGCGAGCGACACACTGACGATCGCTAGGTTGGAAGGCTACAAGAGGCGCAAGGTGAGACCCCTCGGATGAATGAAAGGATGAATGGAGAATAATTTCGTCCACGCTGTCGGCGACGTTTATCTATGGTTGAGCTATTCTTCCATCCCGGCGTATTGTCTAGGTTTGGACGATTACGGTTTCTCGCGACGTGCGGCGCGTTGCAGCTGCCATGGCAGAAAAACGAGAGCGCATCGCCGGCCAACTGCGAGGGAGACTCGAGGCTCTGCCTTAGATTACAGCGATCTATTTATCAAACTCCTTTATCGAGATATTCAGCAATATTTCCTCTCGTAAAACGCGCGACCACCTGCTCCCCTGGGATATCTTACAGCGCCTATCTCTAGTGATATCTCTATTTCGTATTTGATATAAAAGTCGAGCCAGAAGAATAAACTTGATACAAGTGAATCGAGATATTCACATTCGATTTGAGCGCGTACGTATTTTTTACCGATACTACCTACCTGCATTCCGCGAATGCATAATATAAGCGTTCGCAGCTGGTAAAAAAAAAAATCGATCGAAAAAAAATCGAACTTCTTCCTGTTCCCGCGAATGTATTCCGCGGGGTCCATTACGCTCCCCCCCTCCCCCCCCCCGCGAGGGAAGAGAATGAGGAGACGAGGCCTCGGCCGAGAGCAACCGTCGGATGCACCAATCGTCATCGGGCGGCCATCCGTGAAATTCGAAACTGCTCCCGCGTTCCGCCGTTTTACGTCGCGAAACACGCGGATCTCATAATGCGTGGGAGTGAGACTGGGAACGGTTATCGTTTGCGGTCAACGACTGTCCACCGTAGCGAGCGTGCTGTCTTTGTATTCCCGTCGACGATTAAAACCTCGACAGGCTCTAATTTGCGTGAGGAAGTCGGTCGTATTCGAAACGCGAGTTCACCAAGGGAAAGTCATTTTGTCGTAAAATAATAGCAGAAGCGTAGTTTTTGAAAATCAATCGGCACGGATATAGAAATCTGTGTAAATCTCGTACGAGAGCGTAAGTTTACAAAACGTGTGAAAATAACCATCGTTTATCTTACTTGCGCCAGATTCCGCGAAGATGACTAGCAATTTACAAATAACCTCTCGAGGTATCACTTCCAAGCGATCTTCACACAGAGTCTCGATCTGGCTAAATCGTTCACCACGCTAATCTCGACGGTAGGAGTGTCAATTTTAAAACAGCAGAAAGCGAAACGGATTCGCGAGAAGGAAACATCAAAATTGCGCTCTCAATTTTTCAGCTGTTTTCCCGTGGTAGAAGAAAGGACGAAACGAGGGCTTCTATCCTATTTACATCGACGTTCAGATTATCGATAATAAGAGCGCGAGGGATGGTTGTTTAACATCAGTTTGCCAGTGAAGTCCCTTGGACGGAGCGTGCGGAGTTCCCTTCTAACGAAGGATGGAATGTAGCGAGGCTACACTGTGGCGAGTAAACGTCGGTTAAGAGGAGGTAGACTACGATCGTTTCGGCGAGGGGGCGGTGGTGGAAACAGTCAGCGACTTAGGCCACGAACGGTCTTAAGTAAGGCAAAGTGGGTGAGTCGTGGACGGCCAAAGGTACGCGTAAAGACCAGCCTTAGAGAGAGAGAGAGAGAGAGAGAGAGAG